TAATGAGGGAAAAAATGAACTTAAATGATTTTAGTATATGGCTGCAATATAACAAAGAGTGAAAAATTTAAGGGGGTCTGAATACTTTCCGAACCTACTGTACTTGACCTCTGCTGACCTGACAGCATTCCTACTTGCTTAACTGCTACTATCTAAATATTTGAATAAAATGAATCAAATTACACTTTATTGCGATCATGGCTAGGTTTTATCCTAGCATGCATGAAGACAGGAATTTCCTCTTTATTTATTTTACATGCATGTTTTTGGGGATGTGGAAGAAAGCCATCACAAACAAAAGGAAAGCTCACAAACAAAAGGAAAGCACACAAACTCTAGATATGGCTAAGAACCGATTATTTATTGTTCCTGGAGGGAGGTAACACTGGTACTGCCTTTGGTTTAAAATATAAAAGTGTTTTTAGCTGGCGTCAGCCTCTACACATAGGTGTTGTCAGAGACACTGTTTGAGCCTGTGTCCTTCCTACAAGGGTTTATACAATACAGTGAGGATGCACCTGTTGGCATCCTTGCATCAGTCTAAATCTGGAGATCCAGGAGTGTCCATTACTGTCTCTTGATGATGATGTTTGGTATTGATTGAAATACTAGATGGAAGCATCAGTTACCCTCCCATCAGCGATTTGTCCAATTCATGTGAAACCTGGCAGTTCATGTTATTATGCACAGTGTGATGCTGTTCTCTCAAGGATAAAAACTCACCAAACGCAAAATTAGTCAGGAGATGTGACAACCCAGTTGATTGTAAAATTAGAGGCAAACTTGCTGCAGCTGTAAACTCATAATTATTCCCCTGGGCTTTGTCTCATTAACCTGACAGATGTATGAGTCGTTACTCATGTGATTAACTTTGTGCGCAACCTCTTCATTTTTTTTAAGCTTCACCTGCAGCCATGCTGTCAATTCATGTTACTTTGCTGGACAGAACCTGCGAAAGAGGAGAATTAGTGGCTAAAAACAGCTCTGCTCCCTAAACACGTTTTAATTACTACGGCACTTGTGCATGTTGGTTTTTCCTTTGCTCCCATTGTTGTGGATCAAACTGCTTAGAAAACACTGACAATCTATTTGAGCCTAATATACCGTTGAGTTTCCCCGACTCAGGAGAGAGCTTATATTTGCATCTTTCTCTTTGCAGTTATTTCCCCTATGCATTATTTAATCTAGAAAGAATTTACTGATATTATGCTGCTGTACTGTGTATCCACATTTGACATGAAAATGACTTGCATCTCATTTGAATGTATTTATCTATATCTGTGTTTACACTTCTCTCCCTCTTGTGTGCACATTGTGGCTGGATTAACGTATGTCCACGACTGTCAAAACGATAGCGTTGTGTGTTTGAGCATGTTTAAATCCCAAAAATACTTTTTGTGTACAGTCAGTTATCAGTGAGAAGATAAATTGAGTATTCACAGCCAGAGAAGGCAAATGAAATTTTGTGATTGATGCCACATTTTGTCGGCATGATATGTATGGTATGAAGCTACAGCCAGCAGCTGGTCAGATTAACTTATCACAAAGAAAAAGGCACGAAATAGTCATGTCAGTAGTGAACATGTCTCCTTTTAATAGTAACAAAATCTGCCTACAGTACCTCTAAAGCTCACTACTTAATATATTATCTTGTATGTTTGATCGGGACAAAAAACAAGTGTAAAAACTACAATTTATAGTTTTACAGCGACAACACAACTCCAATTACTGCGCCCAGCCAAAAAATAGCCCCGCACAAAACCCCAGGAAACCTACAAGGTTTGAATGAAACAAACAATAAAATAAGTTAATTAGGGAGGCTTAGTGTAGCCGAGACCTGTTTTGTTACCTTTTGACAAAAGCAGGCAACTGTGTCTTCATATTTTTTTTGTTCTAAGCCAACCAGCCTCTAGCTATAGCTTCATATTCAAGGCTATGAGAGCAGTATCTGTCTTATCTAATGCTCAGCAAGAGAGTAAGTGTATTTTCCAAAACATTTAGCTATTCTTTTAAGTAAAAATATAGAATATCAGGTTCATTCAGCTGTATCCCTTTTGCGTTTAGCATACCGTCTTAACATACTGTATTAAAGGCTGCCTCTGATGATGATTCATCTACAGTTGTGTGCTTTAAAATAACACACTAGAGTGTGAATCTCATATTGATGTTGAATGGCTCTGCAGAAAAAAAAAACGGTCTTCTCATTTCCTTTACTACCAGTTAAATGGATTCTGTCACACATATTAAAAACAAATCTGCAGCAGAGTGTGACACATCAAAGGGGAAGTGGAAAGCAAGCGCCCTTGTTAATGGAGAGAATTGTGGAAGTGGGGACTGTGGGATGTTAGGGGGACATAATAGTCCTGACAATCAACCAGCTGAGTGCCTGTCCTTTTTCCCTGCAGGGGGTTTTGGGTGGAGACAGAGCGCCGGAGCCTGCTGATACTTCATGAGCCGACAGAGTTAGAGGTCTGAACAGATGGGAGATAAGAAACCGAAAGATGGGAGTGTGAGGAGTCAGAGTTAAAAGCATTGGATTTCCTCTTTGACGTTGATAGATTGATGAGCTGGAGCTCACTGCAGATATCTAAATAAGTATAGCTTGGTGAGTTCTCGCCAGATAAAAGACTGTCTCGCACCATCCAGTTTGAAGATTTAGATGAAGAACGTTCCTGATATCTTCTTTTGGTTAGTGTTAATACTAGAGTTAGAGTCAGTGTAGCTGCTTCAATTTAATGTCGCCCCTGACTGTTTCACATTCTGCCAATTATGCGGTAACACAGAAATGCAATGCTTTGCCTTTTAGGCATGTCTATAACACATACTGACAAAATGTTTCATTAAATGCATCACTTTTGACTTATTTACTTTTGCTGATTTATTATTTTGAGAACAAAACGTGTTTTGAGCGCTTTAAATTGACAACAGTTATTTTCCCCATGAAATCACACCTGTTACTGAGTATTTATTTTAAAAAATGAATCATTCTAGAAGTGATTTGTTTGAGTGGGGAGAACAGGGAGCTCACCTCTCTCACAGCTGCTTTAGTTAATCTCTTTCATGTGGTTCATTGCTTCAGCACCCCTTAGGGAGCTGGGATTTTTCACTACTGACATACATTTTTCATCTTTACATGGTCTCCAGCAGCATCCACTGTAGGCCACTGCAGTGTTTCTAAGCCACAGAATTGTTTGTCGTTTCATGCCTTAGCTGTGGTAGGCCACAGATTTGTTCAGATTTGAGTCAGCAAATTCAAAGCAAGCTGCTATAAGACTTTGTTTTGCTTTCAGAAATACACTGATGTGACCCCCACAGCATAAAAACACCTGTCTAGGCTTAAATGGTATACACACTGTGATGACTGTGGTTTTTTTTTTATAATTGTGTTTCATATAGAATGGCCCTTGAGACACAATCTGTTTTGGCCTTCAATCAAATCAAACAAACAAACAAAAAAAAAAACAGCAGAATTGACCTTTTAAAATAATCTATCAAGAGGTTACATTTGCATCAATATTTTCTTTCAGAAGTCTATTAACATTTTCTTCCTATTCACACTCCATGGACTGAGAAAAGTGATGAGAATGGCAGAATGGCTTTGTATACAATGCTCGCATAGTTGTCTTCTATTCAGTCCTGGCGATAATGTGGAGTACTTTCAAAAAGCGCTAGTACAGCCCCTCTGGTTGCCACATTGATAAAGTGAGGACAATGTAAGCTTCTAATCAACTTCAACAGCTTACTGCACAGCAACCCTGAAGGCATTTTACCACAAAAATGAAGCATTGCTGAAGGAATAATCCGGTAATATCTTTAATTTGGCTGTGCAGTTTTAACTGTTTCTACAAAACTTATGGTTATGAGGCCCAAAACTGACAAGATGTTGTAAGAGGTTATCTGAACAGTCAGCAATAACTGAATACATAAATAACTAATATTATTAATTAAATAATTGTAATGCAATGTCAAAAAAAATATAAATATACCTTTTCTTTAATTTGCAATCAGCTAGTGAAAACAAAAAGCTAAATACTTTTTCATGTTCTTCTGTCTAAAGTCTTCTAACAGTAGTTAAAGGATAAGTCCAGTCATTTTCTATATTAACACTATTTTAAACAAAGACTAAAACAAACAATGATTTGCCTCTCCTCACGATAAATCAGTCTGCCAGAACTGGATTTGTTTGTTTGTCTGTGCTGTAGTAGACCTCCATATTACATGTTCTGTTGGAACTAGTTGGACAAAAGTGCCACTAGTTGCTTAAAAAGAGTAACTAGTAAAGGTTTTTGTTCAACTAGTATGGCAAAATATCCAGCCAATGCCCAATTAGTGATGACAAAGACTGAACTAGTGGAGGACAATTATGTCTGATATCGAGGATATCAAAGAAATGTTGAAAAGGCTTGCCATAAGCATGGAATCTGCAAGCTAGTATAGCAGGCTTCATTAGCTTTACAATTCTGTCTAAAATGTGTTACCTTGTTAAATTGTGCAAGGAATAAATGACAAATCATTAAATGTGTGGCAAAAGCAAATAAATAGGTGAACTTAGGAGTGAAAACTAAACAAAAGAGCAACACATGCTGTAAGGTGATTGTTCATGAGCATCCTGTTATCAAATGCATTTCCACATTGAATATGCCAAAATTGACACAAACTCTTTTGAAAATGGTGGAAACAATCTGCTGCTCTGCATTCTACTGTCACATTATGTTTGCCTGAATTGTGTTAGTGTAAAGTACCCTTTACTTGTTGACTGTCAGTCATTGTGAAAAGTACTGACTCACTTGCAGACATGTGACAGGGCGGACTAATTTCACTTGTTTGGATGTAGAGTTCCCTGAAAGTGCAGGCTTGTCATACAGTAAGCTTTTCATATTTAAGGACAAAAAGACTCAACATGACCTTGACTGACAGTCAACTGCTAAATCAATAGCTGGCTGTTTTTGTGTGGGCTATATGGATCACCTTGCTCTCTGAGCAATAGTTGCTGTCGGTTCTTTTGTCATTCAGATCGAATCCATCAGATGTGTATTATATCCTCTGCTGTGAAAGGAAATACAATCTAGGCAAAGCAAAAAAAAAAAAGAAAAAAAGAAAAAGCTTTACTGGGGAGGACCGTGACTCTGAATCTTGACAGCTACATCACAGTCTTGGCTGTGTGAGGCATTTGTCGGACATGGCATCTTGAACTGTTAACTCATGGGGGTATGAACAGCAGAAAAAGGCTGAAAATAAACTACATGTGGTGCCTTCATCTTTTACAGCAGTCTTAGATGTAGTTTAGAGCTGAATGAACTCTTGGATTTTCATGATTGATGCAGCTCTTCTGAAATAATGACTTAGATTTAGTTTACACTGTGAACGAATGTGAAAGAAGAACAAACCTGTAAAAAGCAGCAGCGAATGAGATGGAAAAGTGTACAGAATATGAGAGGATCCATGTAATAAGCAACAGCTGAGGGTTAAAGTGAAAGTATTGTTTATATAAAAACATGCAGAACAAATGTCAGATTGTTTTCAAAATAAGTTTAGAGTCTGTTTTAGGATTTTCAGTCCTACGCAGTTTCACTGACGCACAAACTTCAAGTAGTACACTTCACTCTATATAATTTTGATTTAAAAAACTCAAAATGAAAAGAATGACTAACTGCAGTCCTTACTGAATGTATTTTTATTGTGCAGACACACAAGTAACACAATGGGTGGTTTCACACTATTCAAAGCACCACAGAAATGACCTCTGGTATTAAATGAGGCCAAATAAACAGACTATATGTAGCAATAAATCTTACTTGGGTTGTGTCTTACATCTGCATATGTCTGACTGTATGTCTAATCCTGTCGTCTATAGAAGCCCAGCTGCCAAGGAAAAGTTTTGTATTTATAAATAGGTATTTGTAATGTAAATATGGACATATATTTAGCAGCTTGTGTCTGCATCGTGCATGAAAACACTCACTGGGAATAGATTCAGCCTCTTTTTGTGTGAAGATGTTATTCAGAGAGAACTGATTTTTAATATTTCTTACTCTGCAGATTTACATCTTGTGCCCAATGTGGCTGAAAATCCCAATAAAGGATGTAGATTTTGATTTTGATTTTTCCAGTTTGAATATTGGTTTATGTGAGGATTTTTTTGGGGGCTATTTAAACCTTTTTACAAATGTTTCAAAGACAACTGAATCCAGCAAAACCTTTCCTACAATATTACAAACAAAATAACATCAAAGCAGGACATTATTTGTGAAGGTGTTTTGTAGACTACTGCAGATGACTTCATCAGTGGAAAACATAACTAGCCCAATTCACTTGCTGCTTACCAAATGCACAGCACAACAAAACATGTGAAAATTCAGCATATCTCCAGAAATAGCTCTAATGAGCTGGGGTGCAGGCTTGTGTGTAAAAGTTAAGATCAGATGTAGTAGTCTGTCTTCACCCTCCTGAAAACTGCAGCTCAAGCTGTACATCCTCACCTTCTGTCACCTGGCTTACATCCCAGTCCTGCTGTTGCAAGAGAAACAGCATGAACATCTTCAAAACACGTCAAGGACTCTTCACACAGTTTCATCACAAGCGCTACAGTGGTGAAGAGGCCCTTTTACACTCGGGTGAATATAAGCTCTCATTTTTTATTCTGGCTCATCAAGCAGCTGTCTAAACAGAGCTGAGTTTGCTCAGGTACCCATCCCTGACTGGAGGAAAATGCCATGTATTAGACTTATTGCTATGCACTGTTTTGCATCAGTGAACATTTCTGGGTACTTGCCTAGATCCTGACCCATTTTGGTGTCTTTGTGTTTCTGATATTTAGATCAAATGATATCGAGGAAGATAAATGCCATGCTGTCAGGCTGGCAGGTTGTGTGGAGGCTATATCATAGAGCAAATGAGTTAAATAAATGCCAGGATCAAGGGTGGATGTTTTGATGAAATGAGTCTGCTATACAGTTGAGAGGATTCATGAAATCCCTTTCCAGCCAAAATGATAAGAAATGGATGATCTTCTGCACTAAATCTGACTCTTCAGCCCCGCAAGCTGTTCAAACTACACGTTTGAAACGGAGTTGATTTATTGTTAAGTAAATCAAATATGAACGAACAAATTCAGAAAGAAGACATTTATTTAAAACAGTGTGATGCTTGTATTGCTTCTATCAATCTCAGGTGTTAATCACTGTGTGCAGATGGCACCATTCATTATGACTACCACTCAGAAACTGAGATGAGGTGTGATCTGTGACTGGCTGCTGCTGTATATTCTGGGGGCAGTCACGGGTTGGGCTCATAAAGTAGCTGTGACATCTGGTCAGAACACCAGCAGTGGGCTTGACTTGCTTAATGAACTAACATGTTCGCATTGGCAGCACTAAGTGAACCATTTATTAGTGAGCAGGGAACAGACATGGGATGCACTGGGGCTGGAAATGACAGCAGCCGCCGGATGACAACACCTTTCAACACAGCTGAAATATGTAACGTATTCATGCTGCGCTTTTCTCATAGATTTTCAATGTTAGGTTTTTACCTTAGGCCATATCGTCTGCCAAAATACAAAATATTATTATGATGAACCTGAACAAAAGAGACATAAGGACAGCGTGGACTATCACCCTGTGAAGATTTTGACTGAAATGAATGTTTGCTGACCTAAGGACATTTTTAAGTACATGTGAAAGATTATCACACTTAAATGATTTAGCACAAGTTAAAGGTTTTATTGTCCACTAGGCTTGCAACTTGTCTTCATAATACAACCTGCAACACAAAAAAGAAAAGGGGAAACACACACTGTATAGTAAAAGTCAAAATAATAATAAAAAAATAATAAAAACTGTAAAGCACAAAATAATGGCAAATCTTTGAAATGACAGTTTGACATTTTGAGAAATGTGCTTATTCATGTTCTTCTCGAGAGTCAGAAGAAAAGACAATTGCATGTTTATGGTAAGTATGAAGCTACGTAGATGAAGGAGATGGTTAACGTTGCTTAATACCTAGACTGGAATTACAAAGAAATGTAGCATAGCTTTGTCTGCATTGCCTGATTATTTCTTTATGCTAAGCAACCTTTCTCTTGGCTGTAGCTTCATTTTTTACAATACACACAAGTGCTTTCAACCTTCTCATCTAACTCCCAGCAAGAGAGTGAATAAGTGTCTGTCTTAAAATGTCAAACTGCTCCTTTCAGTATATATGATAATCTGTATAATTATTCATGTGACAAGCAAGTCAACATCTGTCTGACTTGATTCTGAGGAAGTGTGACAAATGACATTGTGTCCTTGGTGTGTAGTCATTTTTATATGCAGTGAGCCTTTGAGCCTGACATTTCGTGCATCAAATGCAGTAGGGTAATTCCCTTCAATCCACCGACTGTCTCTTTATGACTCCCCCAGTTACAATCTGTCAGCACACACGCCTGACATCCGGCGTGGCATTCCGTATAGCGATGCAGCTTTTAGCCAAAGACAATCAGCTCGTCCTTGAGATGGAGGTGCAAAAGATAGACCTCATCACTTCGTCACCTCGGGCTTTTCATATAAGATTTTATTATCTTGTTAGGAACAAATAGCAGTTATTTCAGAAAATAAGGCAGTAATCATGAGAGCTGGCATGAAAAAGTGTGCAGCCATCATTTATTTGTTCACACAGCTACTGACTGAATTAGTGTGTTGCATGTCTGAGGTTGTCTTTCCGCCTGGGCCAGTCTGAACCCATAAACAGATGGTATCATACATGACTGCAGAATGTGTTGGTATCAGCTTGAGCTGTGCTACCTCTATTTATCACATTTTTATACATTTCTCTACTTTTCTTGTCTCATTACTAAGTCAGTGAACACTGGCAGAGTGGGATTTAGTACACTATTTATTATTATTTATTATTTTTATCTGTACTTGTAAGTTATGTTTATTCTTAATGTATATTGTTATTTACATTGTACAGCACTTTGGTCCACCTTGGTTGTTTTTAGTGTTTTATAAATAATGTTGGAATGGAATGGAAATAGAATTTAGAAAAGGTACATTATGAGAAATATGCATATTACCTTTCTTGCATAGAGATAAATAAGAAGAGCAGCACTTTCTTATTTATACAGTATAGTAAATACAAAGCTATCACCAACAGATGGTTTGCTTAGTTTAGCCCAAAGAGAAAGGAAAGCAGCTAGCCTAGGTAATCTGCCTAACAGCACCACTAAAACGAACTATAGAAAGGATATATCATATTTTTGTACACATCTCATCATTTAGACAAACCTGTGGGAGCTGTTTCTCCCTATTAAGCCTTTTTGACTATAGGAATCTATCAACCCATGACAGAACATATACACCTTCTTGCGGGTTTCCACTGCCCTCAGCCCACTTTGGAGGTGAATTCTCGAAACTAAATTTCAGTACCCAAAATGGGAGCATGATGGGGGAGAGGCTGGGTGCTTTCAGGGTTGTCTCCCTTGATTGGTTAAACACCAGTGTCCGCACATAGTGTTACACGTAGGGCGTGGTTCAGAGGTAAAACAGGGATTTCATCAGGCTGACTGCAGGCAAAGCAATGAAGAGGTCACATTTCTGCAGGTTTGTGTTCTACTTGTTCAGCCACTGTTTGATAACCTGCTCAGTCTCTAGGATGATTAAGGATGCATTTCACTCTCTGCTCAGCTATGTGTGTGAGGAGCACAGCACCGCCCTCTATGGCACATTAAAGAGCAGTCCCTGTAAACAGGGAAGACTAGAGAAAAAGCAAAGCCGAAAAGACCACAGTCGGCCGGGTGGCGAGTCTGGGAGGCTCCAGTTTATGGCTCATTTAGCTCCTGTGGTCGAAAAACAGCCCAGGTCTGGTCTTTGTGCTACACTAACAGGCTTCTAGCTGTGACCAGAGGCTTCATATTTTTTGTATTCATAAAAGTGTAATTGATCTTCTCCTCTAAGTCTCTGCAAGAAAGCCAATTTAAAAGTGTTTCCCAAAATGTTGCACTATTTCTTACTTTTCTTTTTTTTAACAGCCTCTTGGCCATTGTTACCCTCAGTTAGCATAAAACTGTTCTCACCATCCTACCTGCAGAAATGGTGAATGTGAGCTCTGCTGGAAACTCTTTTCTAACAGTCGAGTGGTCAGGGAAACATTATCCTCATATGCGCTTTTAAAAGTCTAACCTTAACACAAATGTCACAATCAGTCATTTGGAGGCCAATATTAACAGTTATTACTACAAAAAGTTCATTAAGAGCATTGACTTTCAAGGTTAATCTGTTTGAAACAGCTTTGTGTACAGTGGGATTTAAAATGTGACCAGCTAGCGCAACTAATAAGACATTCAGATGGTTCAAAACGAAGGAAAGGAAGGTTTTATTTATTGGTTGTTGAAAAACAGTTTTAAAGTCAGGCATTTATCTGGTCCCACTGGACTTTGTTTCCAGCAAAGCTCTCAAGTATCACAAAAACAGTAAGACAGAGGCTAAAATACCAGAATCTTCTATTTGGTACAAATCAGATCAACTGTAAATATGCAGAAGAATGTTATTCTAATATTGAAAAGAAATGGATTCATCACCTCCTTACCTGTGGGTCCTTGTTAGTCTTTGCCATCATGTTTCATCAACTTTTCTCTCCAAGGCCAATTTTATCTCTGTGTACAGCAAACACAAGTTAAGATCAACAGAATTTATTTAGACTTTTTCACAGGAACAGATGCATAAGCAGAATATTCACCAGATAGATTAATGTGTATTTTATTAAGAGTGTTGTTGCTGAAAAAAAACAACAACAATGTTGCCAAAGGTGATAAACATGGCAAACCAACAAAATAAACATCTCCCAGATTTTACTGTGCCTGAGGCTGCCACCCAAGACTGCCTAATGGACGAGTATCGCTGTGAATCTATGTGTGGACTAATGGCTGAGAGATGTGAAGACAGCTGCAAAGTCTTTAAGCACCTTAGACTCCACTATTTTGTGCAAAACAAGAAAAATGCACAATGAGCAATGGCTCTCTTTTGAAAATCCTTTTTCTAATCTGAATGTGAGAGGAGTTTTATCACTGGCTTTCACTTTAAGAAATACATCCACAGTGGGCTTGGCTGGCTTCGAGCTGGCGGCCGGCTTGTTATGAAAATCATAAGACACTTCTGGCAAAGGCTCCATGAGCATCACTGGCACATGCAGAGTTTCCAGCAGCACTGATTACTTCCAACTCATAGGCGCAAATAAACATGAGAGTTAAGAATCAGAGCAAACTTAACATGGAAAAGGGTTGAAAATAGGGAATTATATTTCCAAGTAGTGATCATTTAATCATCGTCATTTTATTCTTGGCAGTCTGATAAACATTGCTGTAGCTTGCTGCTGATTTACACTAATGTTACGCTAAGAAAACAGTTTTGAGAAATATACTGTATGATAATGTGATCTATTGTTATGTGCAAACAGAAAACATCTTGATAATTTAGCAATAAGCTGACACATTATTTCTCAGTACTCAGTACTAAGAAAAACAGATGCTTTATGGAGAACAACGTGAACCACATACCGAGCTTCTTTACTAATTGATGAAGGACTCAAACATGTCTGATGGCTGAGTAGCAGTCCTCGGTCCTCTGGGAGCCGCTTCCTGTGCCTTCCAAAGAAGCACAAGCAGAAAATACCCATCTTATATAATTATATAAAGACAGATGTCTTGTTTTTACACCAGTTTCTCAGTTTAAATGAAATATTTGTTTCATAAAGTTTTGATGAAAGTTCTTTCATCAAATATGATGTTCCTCCTGAACCTGTTCATTAATTAAAAGGCTCTTTTGCAGAAAGTGATCTTCTGTTTCACAAGCTGAGAATAGCTACACATCGCACACAGCTCCTCTTATGACTGTAAAGTGTTATCTACTGTCTGTGTCTACTGACTGATACTTTGTTCTTGATGAAATATTTTTGTCACCAAATGAAGTATTAAGTACAGTAAAACCTGCTGTAACAAACAAAAGCTCTACATTTATAAAAACGTATTCAGCTGATTTAATATTGATAAAAACTGATCAGAGGTTTTTAAAGTTGTCTTGTCTCAATCAATCCCAGTAACAAACTTTTCAGGCAGCCTTACTGGCCGTCAAGCGTGGTGCCAACTTACTGGGGGTCTTGGTGAAAATCCAAAACTTTGCTGCATTATAGTAAAAAATGTAAACGATAAAAAAAAAACCTCATCATCTTTGTGCATGTAACAAATGTAAAATCATGACTTACTGCAGCCTTACAGGAGACATCTATCTTATGACAATTTAGCACCAATACAAACAGGTATTACTGCTGTATCTTGCACTACTGAGTCAGCTTTGTTCTGTTTTGTCTTTGTTGTTATGCGTTATCAGCACAATTGTGCGTTGCAGTGTATTTGAATACATTTTCAAAATGAGCTGCATTTTTGGAAAAATGTGAAGAAAAGTGTGAATTATAAACAGGTCAGCAGTTATTGGTCCTCCGGGATTAAACATAGCTGTGTTTGCAGAGCTATAAGTGGCACATACATAGTGATATTAGAATAAGAGAAAGCAAACAATAACAAAGTGTAAAAGAAAAACAAAACAAAACAATCAAAAAATGAAAAGTGTTTGACAGAAAATGCCGTACGTTATAACAAGGTAATCTGCCTTTGTATGTACTTTCTTCCCTGCAAACCAACCTCATATCTAGTAGTCACTAATCTGCTGTTCTACTACTTGGATGATTAATTATTTCTAATTGCGCCAGTTTTAGTAAGACTTTTGTTTCCTTTATCTCCTTTGTTTCCATTATTTTAATTGCATGTCTATGCTTTATTGTGTTTTTAATGATCTGTCAGGGTTATAAAAACTGCATACTGTATCACTTGCAGTTGATGTAAATGAGCTTTAATGTGAATTCATGAACATGTGCAGCAGGATGGAAATGATATTTCAGTCCTTTATGAACAACGTGAACACAGTGAGCCGCAAGAAAATGTTACTCTTAATTCCAAAACATAAATGGTCTGTTATGAGTCAAAGTACGTGGTGGGAATGTTAATTCAGTCTGGGAGGCCAAATAAGCAAATGACCACTGATGACTTCAACGAACCTGCTACAAATCATTTGCATCCACTCACCTGTTATGTTCCTGTCTGTGGCGATGAAATCACACTGTAGTATGTTTCTAAATCTGTAAACAAAAACACAAACAAAATGATCAACATGTCAGTCTTAGCACCAGTAATAAACAGATATAGACTGACGCACTCCATGCAATGTTGAATGTGTGTCTACAGTACATAGCACAGATCAGTCATTGCATTCCATCACTGTGAAAAAAGTAAACCAATTCAAGTTGTTAAGTTTTGAGCAAAACTTCGGGAATTTATTTCTATCACTCGTGATGCTTTAGTTTTTCGAACATTATTTTAGTGCCTTTTATTAGAATTTATTATTTCTTTTATCACAGTTTAGCTGATTCTAGTTAGATATATCAAGGGATTTTAAATTCAACAGTGCATTTATTGGGTGTTTAAAATGGGGCAGGTTTACTTTTTTTAAGTGGAAGTTAGCATTTGAAGATTAAATTAGGATTATTATTAGGGTTACCTGTTTAATGTTTAGTCTTCCTTTCAGTCCCGTGATCTACACTCTTAATGAGAGCCAGGCTTCAGGTGTACTAATCACAAAAGAGAATTCAAATCGCTAAATGGACTTCAGCTTTGATGTTTAAAACACGAACAGTTACAGTGATACAGGGTTTGCAGGATGAATAACAAAAGTACAGAAAGAGGTTAGCAGACATGAACCGCATGAAAGACTGTTTTTTACTTAGCAAAAACACAATACCAATAACTACATCCTGTAGGGCCCACTGTGATCTTCAGGAGTCAGCTTCAAACGCTGCGCATATTTAAGGCATTATTATGATAGTATATGAGGACTTCTTACCTCTTCTAACTCCGTATCATTCTCAGAGTGTCTGTTTAATGATGTAAAATGTCAGAGAATGGCTTAAGAAAAGAAATGTATTAGTTTCTAAATATGAAAGTAACCAAAGAATCAAGGACAACTGAACAGGAATATTAATTATTTAGCAAATGATGCATTTTGGGACAGGTTGGACTTTCTTTATGAAATGAGTTAGCTTTTACCAGAAAGCTGATGTTACGTTTTAGAAACAAGAAACTCCAATAGTCAGTTATAGCTGTAAAAACATAAAACAATAAAAACCAATTTATAGTCTCTTAGCCACCTATTTAGAAAGTCTTACACACTGTGTTGAGGTTTGTGTTGTTTTTATTAAATGCTTTAAGTACAAATACAGATTACACACAGAACAAACACGCATTATAAATTACACACTATACATTGGCGATTGCTTTCAGTCCAAAAACAAAACAAAACAAAACAAAACAAAACAAAGAAACAAAAAAAAAAAAAAATGTTTTGCACGATTACGAACTCACAAATTGTATAATTTAAATTCACAATGTAACTTAGGCTAACTTTAGATATCAACTCATGTATGCCATGAAGTCATCAGACAGCTATGGGACAATCTGAGGACTGATTTAGATTTTTAACAAAAATTTTGGAAGGAGTATTTAGGCAATTTAGTCAGTTCGCATTCAGGTCTTCAAGGGTTGGTTTCCATCTTTTGCCTTTAATGGCGTTAATCAGTTCATTTGTGTTCAGAGTTGTGTGGTTCTCTGTCTGCTGCTATAATTATGATTTTTGCAAATCAAACCACAGTTGGAGTCAAACAGGAAATGGAGCTTCTGGAGACCAACGCTATTCTGTAGCTTCAAGAGACAAATTAACCAGAAAACCGCCCTTGGTTTATTTTTATTGAGCCAAATACTGAATACGCCCGTGGAAAAAAACTGTGTCATGAAGAGGCCAGTTTGAATCTCACAAGGTTACGTTTTCGCTTTAAGGTATTAGTTAGGAAAAGATCCACTTAAACCAGATGGAGCCCACAGCCAGACCAATCAGTGAACTGTGGAGAAAGGTGATGGAGTTTGAAAAAGGATCATTTTAAACTTGGAGTGGGAGTCACACTTACACCGCAGTTCTGTCTGGTTAAAGGCTCATCCTGCCCGTAAAATGATTTTGGGTAACCTGCCGTAAGATAGGCAGGGTTTCAAGGAAACCAAAAAGTTTGTCATACACTAGTGTGTGTTCATGAAAGGGCATACTCCAGGGCAGCTGTGGAACCGCAGAGTCTCTTGCTCATTTTATGTCTGTAGCCACCTGACATGTGATGTGCCAGGACAAAACGAATAGCATGTAAGTTTTTTTTTCCACTCCTTGTCTGACAACTTCAACAATACGTTCTCTGTGATGCTGACCCCCCAAAACACACAGTGCTACAAATGTAAGGAAGCAAAAGACAAATGATGGCGCTGTTAGGTGGAACAGTGAAGTCACCTGTGTACTTCAAACATGCACAGCTACAGTATGACAAAGTTACTGTGTACTCGAATCCTGGCATTACAGGGTTGTCTAGTAAACCTTGATAATCACTGGATTAAAGGCAATAAATGGAAACAACTTTGTCAAATTTTGATGTATAATTTATAAGGACAAAAATCTGATGAAACTGCAATTTAAACAGCCAGTTTTAAGAACAACCTTCCTGTACATGACTCAGTGTGTCTCTTCTTTTCCTCTCTGTATTTTTAAGACTTTTATTTAAAAAAAAATCAGGATACTGTTAGATTTTGTGTATTTATGTGCTTTTTTATGTGCTATTTTTTTAATTCAATTTCTGAAGGAGACAGACAAGAAGTAACTGTTACAACATTTTATGAGGAATTAAAAAAGTAATTATAAATAGTCTAAAAATGGAGGTCACATATCGGGAGCACCTTCAGTATCTACCATAGGGATGTTTCCTGTAGCCGCCCCTTGTCAGCCGTAAAACAGGGGCTTTGGGACTGCGATGGGTAGTCGCCCACTCTTCCTCTGCAAAAACAGTTAAAGAAAACATTACAGAAAGTGGCTGAAGTCGCCATACTGAGAAAGTTCATGTCACAAAGTCAAACTCTGAGCTCAGCTACAACTATACTATCTTCTCACAATCCATTTAACCGAAGACAAGAAAATTCAAGTGAGCAAATTCTATCCCAGGTACTACAGAGGCTTCTCTCCACAGAAAATTAATTTCATAAGCTCTTTGCCCTCTGCTGGACCAACACAGAGATCTGACTGTCAGCTCTTCCTTCCTTAGAGCCAAATCACCCAAAGTTGGCCACCTCTGCTGCATGGCACATTGCACTGCTTCCAAATAAGAAAGTGTTTATGGAGCAGAAAATCAAATCACTGGCCCCTTGGTTTTGGTTTTGTCCGACCTCAACACCCCAGTGCACACTTCATTGTGCTGAAAATGAATGAGCCTGCAAACACACTGTGGCAACCAGCTTATCGCTGCTGTCATGTGACAGCATTGTAACTCCAGTTTTGGTGATTTATCACTTTTGCTAATGTTTTGGGAGAACGTATAGCTTCCTTTGCTGATAAAACCTTATGAAAAATCTTTGGAGCAAAAAGGTAAATCTGCTGAGCGGCTGGTGTTTTAGAGATACTAAATATTTACTTTATAATACTTTCAACCTGACAGTGGAGGTTACTCGGTTAATAGCAACAGCCTTTCTGGAAGCCAATGAAGGCACATATCCAAGAGGCAAAACACTCAGCCTTTACAACGTGCATCGGTTAGCCCCCTGAGCATCCACTGGCACATTTACTGTTCTGGTCAAACGCAGCTCGTCGCCTGGATGGTAGAAGAAGTGAAGCGTGCGGGAGTAGCTCCCTGGGTGAGAATGATTAGAAGTGGAATGGAACCACAAGGCTTGTCCTTTGTTTCTCGTCTGTAACACATCTTTTAAACAGCAGTGCAGCGACAGCTGGGATTGTGTGGTCAAGGCTTTTGCTCTTGTCTGGAATTAATTTTTAGTTTGTTTTCAAAATCCTACACTGTGTTCACAAATTCCTAAAGTCAGGTACAAGGAAACACCAGAAAACAGCTGTGATCACAGACTGGAGAGACAGTTACAGAAATTATTTGTGTAAATAGGTAAATAGGTGTCACTAGATATTGTTCAACGTAACAACTTACAGTGGAGAGAGAGGGGATGACACATCAAACAGAGAGTGACACATCTGCATCAGTGATGTTCTGCTCACAAATAAACTCTTCTTACCATAGTTGTAGGATTCATCACTCGTTCCATGTCCATATTTGTAATATTCTGAAATGCTAAATCAGACAGAGTGAAGACACCACAGTCAAAACAAAGACTTTTTTTTTTTTAAGTTGTTGTTGATACCTTAAAAGAGGCTGGGTAAGTTCCTTAAACAGATGGGTAGTGTAGTTTTTAACAAATGTTACTCAACCAGCAGTGAATAGTGGATTTGCTGGGGACTATTTTTCAAATGCAGATTAATACACATTTGCTGCTCTAGTGAACACGGTGCTCACGTTGCCCATGTTGCTCACTGATGTGTTTTGAATAGTTTTTCTATGATAACTGAGCTCTGTGACACGGAGGAATACATGCTGTACTGTAAGTAACAGTAAACAGATGGTGACTGAAAAGTACTGAGTGACTGGAAATGCTTTTTTTAAATCCAGCATTTGTGTGTCAACGTTACCTTGACTGACTGTTGTAACTATCCTCATAGGCTTCGTAGGTGTCATCATCATATTCTCCACCATATCCATCATCATAGCCCTGAGAGGAAACACGCCGTAAACATTAAAGCCGACTTGTCTTCTCACCTCTATCCAATCTAGCTGGTTAGAGATGAATATAAAAACAATCAATATTTAGTTCCAGGGGCAAAGTGCATTAGTTTGTGTCTATAGCTGCAGAGGAAACAGCAAAAATCCATGTCCAACACAGATTATTGATTCAGGATTGCAGGGGAACATGTCTCACTAGTGGGGCTTGATGGACACCTTCCGAGTCTAAAGAGCAATATGGATCGAAACTGCTGATAGGAAGCTACTCAGGAGCGCAGAAAGCCAGCAAGTAACTACAGTCATGTTCAATAACAATAAAATGACTATGACTAAGCAGCATGCATCACACAGTATAGACCTCGGAGGAATTTATAAACAGCTGTACAGATGCTTTGCAGAATGTCTTTCCTCTTAGTACTGGTAACCACATCTCAAATAAAAGACCCCAGTCTGTGCAGCTGTAGGCATCTACTGAGAGCTTTGCTCTCAACCCAGCTGTGCAAGTGCAGGTTGTGGAACATTTCAAGTAAACATTAGAACTTGGTTAGAACAAACCACAAAAGGGCTGCCTAAGATGTTTTGAATATAAAATACTGTAATATTAAATTGGTTACTGTGGTATGTACTGTAAACATTTCACTCCTTTCAATTAAGTCTAAGCTGGGGCTTTTTTAACTGTTTCAGTTGATTTACTCTTAGAGTCTCTATAAACTGAGCAATGTCCAGCTGCACCAGACCACATAACAGAGGAGATGGTCAAAATCTCAATATGCTCAAGAGAGTTTCTTTCAAATGTGCTCACAGCAATTACTTTTTATGAGTGGAAATGTGTACTCGGTGTACTTTTTGCCCTTGGTTTTGCCCCTCAGCACTCATGCTGCCCCATCTTCTTGGAGGAGGTTGCTGGGACTGTATGCAACCTGAGAGGAGGACCACAGACACTATTCCGAAGAAAAAGCTCCTTTCACTTTCTCTGCATTTTTGGGTAAAAAGAATTTATTCTACTTTTTTAGTACCCTCCTTAAAAATTGCTAGATTTGAACATATAAAGGACAGTGGCCCTGTAGTATAAAGATGGAACATTATTTATTAGAAACTATCAGGTTTCTATCAAGGAAAACTGAAACTGAAATATAGGCTAAACTCAATTACAAAGCAGCAACTCCCTTTCAATTCAGTTTGTGTCCAAAGCTTTGACAGGTAGCCTCATATTCTGGTTTATTCATGGTTTATTCATGGTTTATTCATGTCAGCAGGGAGAGCCAATCTCTGCAGACCAAAGGCTCATGTAAACAGCTTAACCTGAATAACAACTGGAGAAAGGTCAGAGTGTGTGCAGAAGAGTAAACTTGTAGCTGTTGTCTGCTCATCTAATTGTTGGATCTTGTTCTTTTAAAAAGATTTAGTGGAATTTAAAGTGCTTATGTTTCTTTTTTGCCGCGATCTAATCTCTTCTAATCCTTCCTAAGCTTGCTATTTCAAAACAAGCTTTACCATGATACAGTATGTACAAATGTTCAGCTCTTTTTAGTGAAGAAATTTTAAATCAACAGAATAAATGTGTCGAAACTGTCAATGAGGCTGGTTTATGCTAGGTGTGGTCTCAAGAGCGTATTATTCCTCCACGTTTGTCTGTAACAGTATAGAGTAATGTCATCTTGCATTAGGTGTGGCCGCCTTTGATAATGCTTTGTGACACAAACACAGACATATCAGCGTGAGGGACGTCAAGCGCAGCAATGCAAATTACATTTATGACACTTGTGCACACTCTCCCTCTCCTGCTGATTCACACAGCTCTGGTGCCTGCGTGGCTTTATTCGTGTGAACATGAATTTGACTAAATTAAAGTTATGGATTATGCCAGGGATTAAGTTGTTCAGGGGATCCAGTATTTGTTTTCTTCCATGAGTCAGAAACCTGCATATCTCAGTAACTGACCACTTTGTTAACAATCCCGTATGACAAGCTGCTCCACACTGGACCGTAGCTGTACAGCAATCAGTGGATTTAATTTCAGTCAAATGTACTGTAAAAATAACAATAACAAATTAGAAAGTGAAGTCATGTAAGAACTTGGGTTTACCTGTGAATCATATTAATACTGGTGCTGACTTTAGACATATAAAAAGGTCAATGCTGTTAGTGCACTGAAGATGCAAAATAAATACCTAAATGCTGACTTCCCTTGAGCACATCATAGCCCAGCATACTGTCTGTAGTTTGTTTACTGCTGAATGGTGTGTGTGTGTATTCAGTTTAAAATGAGGAAGGTTTTGCTAAAGGTATCTCTGACTCATGCTGTTTACATCTTCGAGACCAGCAGTTCTCTGGTTTATAATTTTGAACACAGAAAATGTCACTTTTTAATTTATAGTTTCTAAAAAATACTTTTCTCAAATTTGCCTTGACTAAAGCTTTGAGCCATCACTTAATGGTGTGTTTTCTTTTAAAATTTAAAAAGCTGTTACTTCTAAGAAAACTTGTGTGAGGCCATAGTTTCAGTAATAGACAGTACCTGAACAGTGATTGTCCAAGTTAGAGCAACTCAAAATAGGTAAATCAAGCTTTAGATTTTTCCACATTAAAGAAATGTAGCATTAAATGGAGCTGTAAGAACAGTGACACTGGGTACACCAAGATGCTGAAGGGTGGGGGTTTTTTTTTGTATTAAAAAATTAAAATCACAAAAACAAAAATGTAAGGCATGGAGTAAACGGTGTCTACTCTAACATACAGTAGCTTTCAACATTAGCATGCTTTGCTATCCACAAGTGAACCCGTTTACCCCAGCAGTGGTACCCTAGCGTTACAGAAGAATGTAGCATTTCTTCCATCAGACTTTTGATGTAGCACTTTTGGTTTAGTATCCATATGTGCTATATTTGTAAATGTGTGATCAGAGTGATATAATGTGTGGTGACAACTGAGCTTTCTCCCTGACAACCCTATCTGCTGAGGAAGACAATGAGAGGCAGGTGAAAGCTCCAGACATGCAGTAGCTAGCAGGAAAACCTTAAACTGTAAGTGTATGGTTCCAAGAGGATTTGTTTACAAATTAATTTTGATATACAGCCCACAACACAGACTACATTCGCGTAGTACAAGGTACTGTGTGTAACTAGACCGGCCCTTAATTAATGAGGCTTGATTTGACACTCATCTGTAAAAACAATTAACACTGGTCCATTTTAGCAAGGCATAGGGAATAAATCAAAAGTTAGCACAAGGGTGGAGAGTCCTCACTCAGTGTAATTAGGACAGCGAGAAACTAAAAGCCCTTAGCTCTGTACTTCATTATCAATTGACAACCTGTATGTCCCCTGACAGTGACTGATCTTCATAGGGAGCTGCCTTTGAATGCCTCTACACAGGGCAAAATGGGGAAGGAAATTAGATTTGCAGCCCTTTGTTGCAGTGAATAGGTGCTGCGCTCCACAACTTTCTCCCTGGGCAAATGGAACCAGCACGCACTGTTTGTTCTCCGTGATACACTTTAAACAGAAGTTTACTTTTGAACATATTTACTCCAATTGTGTCACGGTTAAATTTGAGAAACATGATGCAATTATGAGGAGACTGACTTTGACTTTTTTGACACTCAGCAATATTGTCGTATTGACTTCAGGGAAAGTGAAGAGCAAAATAAATCAAACAAGTACATCAGTATTCAAATGTTAAAATTGACGTGCTTGTGGAGTTTAGTTTTACATGTAATTGCATCTGTCTGCTTCTTCCTTCACCAGTGACTTCAGTCCCCGATGATAAAACTTGGACCATTATGAATTCTACCTGAGTTTTCCTCTATTGAGTAATCGAGTGGAAGTGTGTCATACATCTGTTTTAATAAACAGGAGAATACTGCATGGAGAATTTCCATAATTAATCTAACAAATGTGAACTCCAACAGCGCATCTGAATCCACTGTTAAAAGCAATTACAGCAGATGTGCATGCCATCCTTAAAGGTGGCCTGAGAAGCCGCTGTCCTTGAAGAAATATACAGAACCTCAAGAATCCCACGCATCTTTTATGTTCGTGAAATTGACAATATGGGGAGAATTTTTCCCCGTTTCAGAAGGGTGTCCTTTTGCTTTTTCCACAGTGGATAGATGAGACTTTTTCTTCAAAGCCTCCCAAAGCTGTGTGTTTAATCACATTAGAGCATTTCCCGCACAGCCTCGGTGTGGTTGCAGGGCTCAGGTTTAAAAACCAAGCTGTGGGTTTCAATTTTTACCAGCAATTTGTACAATTCATGGTCTGCTGTGAGGGACAGGTTCCTGTCTCACCCTCACATTCCTCTCTTCTATTATCAGCAGTGACATTAAATGATAAGATTAGAGTTTTAGCATTAAACCAAGGCCATGGTTCCAGTCTGTACAAAATACCATCAATAGCATCTTTAATCTCCCTCTCTGCTCTCTTTGCACTTTTGAAATGGGGAATTTTTTTTACTGATTTCACTGCTCTTCTTTATAGTGGATTAGTAACATTAATTCATTTGTGCTTGTTGAAAAAGTAGGACCTTCATCTTCTAAAGTCAACACTTCACCTAAAATCGGATACTTCAGTATAACTTGAAGTTATACTGAAGTATATGACCACGTATAAAAGAACGAGGGACAACGCAACTTCAAAATGCTGCATCAGTACAAGAGTGGCTGCACCAAGATTTAGTCATGCGGCCGAAAGATCTGTCTTGCTCTGTCTCTGTCTGATGGTTTTTGCAATTTCTGTTGATGAATGTCATTGATAAAACCTCACAGATATTAATCAAACAGAATAACAGAAGGGTATAGTGTTTCCTTATTACATAAATCTACCAGAATTTAGCATTTTCCCCACATAACTAATAAAAGCCTTTTTTCTTTTCCTAATGTTTGTCCATCTATCTGTTAGTTAATCTATCCATCTCTACCTGCTTATCCTAGAAGGTCTCTGGGTGTGCTGCCACTGGGTGAGAGGCAGGATACACCATGGACAAGTCACCAGTTTATCACAGGGCTGATACTTAGAGATACCTTCACTCATACTCACACCTACAGGTCATTTTAAGCCACCAGGTGACCTAACCTGCATCTTTTTGGACTGTGGGAGGACACCTATGTAGATACAGGTAGAACATGGAAACTCCATACAGAAAGTCCCTAATTACTGTAACTAATAAAGCCCCCTTCAAACGTGCACCCCTTTATCTGATGGTAGTCTGTTGGTGTTTGAATAAGCAGAATCAAAATATCAATCTTTCATAACACTTTCAACAACAGCTTGCCACTGCAATTTTTAGCAAGTGCTAATCAAACTTGATAAACTGCATTTTTGTTGGGAACTATTTTCAGCTGTGGATTAATACACGTTTAGTGCTCCCACAAGATTTCACACAAGCAGCGGATTTTGTTTAAAATAAACTACAGCAGCCACGTTCACTGTAATGAAGGAAAGTGTTACTGAGTGCAGTGGTGTGGCTTTGTGATGTGTCTCTAATAGGACAAGAGTGAAGCTATATGGTGTAAAGGAATAACATATATCAGGCTTTGGAGACAGGCAATACTTGTTGTCTCATCAATGAACAATTGATCTCTAAAATATCAAAAGACTTATCCTTCAGCATCCTCAATAAAAAGCCCATATGACTTTGAACTCTTTCACAGAGTAACATCAAACGACGCCTAGGACTGCAAATCTCTGTTTGCATTTGGCAGGGTTGTTTTGTATGGATCGGTGAGTGACAGGCAGCATTCTGTACACCTGAGCGGTAAGAGCTTACTTGAGTCACTGCACAAAGAGCCACACTCTGTGAACAAAGAAAACCGAGTTCTGCGGTAAAAGGAGACAGCAAGGTGAATTTGTGAGAGGAAAAATAAAGAGAAAACATTATGTTCTTAAATTATAAAGCAAACAATGACACACGATAACTGCCAGCTTCTTTGTGCTTTCAGCTGAAGCTTTAAATCAATACCACCCTTGATTAAGTACAATTATGGACAGTTTCCCTTTTATGATACAGACTGACAGTTTGACAGAGCCCATCAATCAACTGACTCTGGAGAAATCTACACTATAGCCACACACACTACAACACACATTTTCCAAAGACAAATATGGGATGTAGCAGTAAAGATGAGGCAACTGCTGCTGATCTATTACTGTGTTTCACTAGATTGTACGGTGCGGGACTCTTGAAATGGTATAACAACAAGCAGCTGAACATCTCATTGTCTGAAAAAAGAAACAACAACAAATAAACAAATAAAAAGAAAAGCCAGGACCTTCGCATATAGAGCTCTTGCTACACTGCTCAAAGAAAATTGTATAATGTAGAAGAACAAAATAGCAAAGTGAGATATGAGGAAAGAAAATGCTCAGGACAAACTCATCTTTCCATAATCCCATAGTCTCCGTGCTCCCACCATCCTTTCCAACCTCCAATTACAAAGAGCAGAAATGCCTCGCTTTTCTCTCCTCCGAAATACACAGGCTCCACATCAGAACTCAATTTGGTTTGGTAATGAGATGGCGCTTGTGCATTTCCCCATGCAGACAGCCCAATCTTCAATTGCCAGCACACATGAGGGCTTTGCTTAGTAGGAAGGCTCTGAGGAAATAGACTGGCAAAAGTGTTGCCTTTTTTCATTTGGATGAAACTTAGATATCACCTTGTGCAGGCTTTTCAAACTGACCTTGAGAAATTTACGAGATCTAAGCACAAGCATACTTTTAACTAGGGCCTTGAGTATATATACTTTTTATGTGGACCCCAGGGTTACTTCAAGTGATGTGAACAAAGGTTTTATAGCACACTGGTCAAGACACCACTTACAGCTTCAAGTGGAGTGGATTCTCTTTTTGCATGTGAATGGCACTGTTCATAATGGGTTTGTGACTTACCATCGTACAAAGTCACTCTTTAACTCAAGGTGTCCTATAGCACGTGTTACATGCTTTTTCTAGTATATTTATTATTTAATACATTTCTTTTCTGTTTGTGTGTGTTTTAATTAGCTACAAACCACATAGAGTTCAAAGCTGATCCAGCTCAGCCCCCAACGCAGTCTAACATGACTGAACTTGAGCCAACTGAGAGAACTAAAATCAGGCTGTACAGTGAAAGATCCTTGGCTTACGGGCTTCCCTGTTGTCCTCCACCAGAATGCTTCATCTGTAGGACAAAACGGTTTTGTGTGGAAATGCTGACAAGAAAGCTCAAGAGACATCTTGAGTCAAAACATTGTTTAGAGGCAGAAAGATCCCTTGAAAACAAGTGTCTTTTTTTATCCTTGAAAACCTAAAATCGAAGCCAAGTTTATTTTGGAGCAGACGTAATGAAATTAATTTAACCAATTAACAATTAATTGCAGTTGATTGTTTAATTTAATGCAATATCTATCTGCACAGCCACGTGAATCAAATGACTTAGCTGTTTTCTGAGATATATGAAGGACTGACATGAAAAGAAAATCAGTTTTTGAAAAGTTTTGGAAACAAAGGAGAGAAGCTGATCCCTCAATGATACCCCCCTTCACAAACTAAACTTTTAAGTGAAGCAAGTTGATTTTTTTATATTGTGCTAATATAAATGGAAACCAAAGGCTGCACAGAACATCCAAATCAATATAAAATGTATGGTACTGTTTATAAAAATTGAAGTTAAAGAATAGTTTTCTGTTTGTGCTAGGTTTTCAAACACGTCCCTGGATGCCCTACATATCCCTGTAAAGAGAGACTTGTCCAGATCACCTGGCAGGGGATTAAACAGTCTGATTTACACTCAGTTCAAGTAAAATGACTATCTACTACATTTTTAGTGTGGCCAGAGAGGACTGGACTTACGTAGTCATCATATGATTCATGTGTGGCTGCTAACAGCGGGGGCCTGTATCCAGCACTCCCTGCTGTCCCCCAGGCTCTTGAAGCTTGTATCTCCCTCGCTAAAACAGATGTGGAAGGTTTGCTGTGCGTCGCCACCGTTGTCCCCCGAGGTGCTGCTGCACTCCCTCCTGTGCCTCTGTGGCTCCTGGGAAAGCAATCAAATGAACAAACATGGCATGAATTTGCCCTAGGAATCTCACTCCATGACACCTGTAAAGAAGATGCTGTGATTTCAATGAAAAAGTGAAGTTACTATAAGATATTAGGAAATGTGTTCAGTCCCTCTTATCGCTGCATATGTGCAGGCTGCACAGCTGGTGGCTGTCAGACAGTATGCTCAGGTGAAACACAAGATTAGTTTAACCTCTGCTGGCACAGAGGTAGATCTTGTAATGTAATCAGAGGGCTGAGGTGTGCCACTTGGTGTCTTTCTCTGGTCTGTAAACATGCCTGTGGGATGCAGTATGGTTATTTCAATAACATGATGGAGCGATGTTATGACTGTATTTGTCCAAAATCTCCATTTGCCTGAATCTACTTTAGTTGCAGTCAAACAGCTGTACTTTTCAAGAGGAGGAAAGGCTTATTTAACAGTAGAGAGATTTTAAAGGCTAAATAACTTGGCATGAGGAATCTAAGGTGGATTTATTTTATTTATTTTTATTTATGGAAATGCTACTGTCCAGCGGCAGGACCACCGAAAGGACTGCAGGATGGATTTAGCATCGCAAAGCCGTTTATTGTCTGCTAACATACTTTTTAACAGCAGCATGGTTTAGGTAGGCCAGGATACCTTTCTTCCTCTGAAACATCCTTGACTAAGTAACAGCCCACTGGGATCCAGAAATACAGACACCCAAAGGAGAACTACTGGTTCATATTTTTCATAGAGATTTACAATAATCGCTTAACTGTGTGCCATAAGTAGAAAATCTGGGTAGGGAAGTGATGGTGGTGCCGTTAAACTGGGAGTGCCCCCTGTTACTGCTGCATTTAGCTCATCTGTATGTGCTACCTGAATTAGGCCAGGCGGCCATGTCAAACTGTAAATGCTTGCTCCTGAGGGACTGCCATGGCTCAGGTAGATTACAGACAATTTACTCTAAAAACTAACTATATGGAGACTGGAAGAGGCAGACGTTTCGCTTTAGGAGCTGCATGCACGGGTTAATCAAATGCTCTGTAGCGAATCAGGATGTAGCTGGTCCTGCATCCATTCTAAAACCTGCTGGAGCTGCCGTGCGTGGAAAAGAAGGCAAAGCAGAAACTTCTGGCACAACTTCACCCACTGCCATGGTGCATAGATGAGGAAAAATAAGATGAATTTTATAAATGTGTTCTATACAACACAGGTGTTTCCAAAACTTTGACCTTTTCAGTACACGAAAAACAAATAATATCTGAAATATCACGAGGACTTAAGTGGAAAAAACCTGTCACAGCTACGCCCTGAGGAAGAGAGGGTGCTTATATGAATATTGAAATAATTACCAGGGAAACAATTAATCTGAAAATCCACAATGACGACAGGTGCTTCCTTTTTATTATTAAATATTTATTTGTGATTCATAGCAGCCTAAGTTTTAGACACATTTTCTGGCAACTAATCAGTGCAATGTCAAAGGTGTACTTTCAGATGATTGCATAGCTGTAAGTAATTATCCTCAACAATCAGTTCATTCATCAGGAGGACTCAATCTGTGACACCTGGACAACATCTTCTGTGGCTGTTTTATCCCCTTCAACTTTATTTGGAGAAACAAATTATTAGTAATAAAAGAAATCAGGAGGATATTTCTACATGAAAACATTTAAAAAGAGCACGTGTCAACAATTTGATGCTTGGTTTTATAAACGAGTAACAAAACCAGGGTTTGTGTTTGTATATTTAGATTTGTGAATAAAGGATTTTGCCAACATTATACTGTAGAGGTCTTATTAAAGTAAGTATTAAATAGGTGTTTCTAAAATTTGATAAAATAACCCTGATGATGTCGTTAGGGCCTACCAGCATCTGCTGGACCAGTTCTAATCATTAGTTTTCTTTAAACTTCCTCTTGCATATATTGCTATAGGTCCCCCCCACCCCACTATATATGAACTCAATTTATACCTGTAAGATGAAGACAAAAACAGGATTTTTAAACCTATCAATCTGACATAGCCAACAAAGATTTGGAGCGAAGTGAATTTTACCGTGTGGATATTGCAGGCGCTGGTCTTACACTCCTCCCTTGTGCGCTCCTTCCTCTGCTCGAGTCATCAGAGCCATTCAACAGGGAGAGCTCTCTCAGTTGTTCCTGTCTGATTTCATCATTGTAGTCCTGCAGGAAAAAAATACAGCGTGTCTCATTATAAAAAAAAGAAAGAAAGAAAAACAAGGACATTTGTCTTCCGACTGCAACAGATGCTCGCCACAGCCGTAAATGTCATTAAATTAAAATTATCTTGACACGCACAGGAAACACATGGTGTTGCTTAGTGCCGAATACTTAGTGAAGAATGTTTTCTTTGCTTATGGATGCACACAAAATGCAGGGGAGAGATTAGTAATGTAGAAAAAAGACATTAAATATCCCTTATAAGAACTCGCCTTCTGGATGGCTCGAAGACAAAATGAATGTCAACAAAATCAGATTTTCCATCAATTGTAAAACCTTTATGTTGAGAAGAAGGAGGACATTAAAAGGAAATTAAATAAAAAAAAATTTTTTTAAAGTAACACAGAATATTCCTTATTTTGTCAAGACACAGGCTGTAATTGACATTTTCCACAACTATGTGTGAAATATTGTTATCTTGAGATTCTGCACCTCCTATTTTTCTCAGCCCGTATCAAACATGATAGAGATCATTACACAGCAGATAAGGAAGTGGACAAAGTAGTATTCATTATCTTGTCATTGCTGACAGATAAACAGGCTTATTTCCCCAGAAACACTTAAGCCACATGATTTGCTACCCTGGGAAAAGTGTTTCTGTAATGACAACAAAGCAGCAGAGGCAGCGACGGATTTAGTTTTTTTGTGTTTCTTTTGACTGAGTGACTGAGTGTCATGTACTGAAAGCAACAAAGCCCAAAAAGATTATGTCATCCAGAAGAAATTAGAGGTAAAAATGTAAGTTATTTCAGGTTTGACCCAGTTTGCACTTTGAGTTTTCATAACACAATGGGTTTGTGAGTGACTTTGCCTTGGTGTTCATTAATCATTACTTTTAAGTCTTTATAACCATGTACTGAATGACATCTTTGTGTGAGCATTAATCCAACCATTAAATTAGCTGCACACTGATTCATGAGATATGACTCTGTCCAGAGTGCACTGATAAGTGAAGAACTGGATAACATTAACGGGTGTGAGTTAGATTACAGCTCACATATACAGTATCATCTAATATTCTAGTGAATTAGTTTCACCTTTTCTTTTATTTAACAGCGTATTCCTATTATGTTATATCTCTAAGCTCACCGACTCCCCACTCAGTCATGAGGCCACTCTGTGATGTGCATAGTTTTGACAATGAATTGAATCAAATCTTCAACAAAAGCCTATTATTGGATTTATATAATTCTCCTGATCAGCAAAAACTGAGAAACTCGTTTATTGTCTAAATGACTGAAAAGCAGCTCTTTTCATTGATTCATTAACTTAATTTCGGTGGGTAAATTGACAGTCACACTTTTCCTCAGAACCTTTGCTCAGTGCAATATGAGCTGCTAATTGTCGACGCTCAAAGACCCTTCATTTAAAAACGTGTTTTGCTTATTTTTATTTCACTTAGTGTTTGAAATTCACCATGCAGAATTTTGTTTTTAAATTCCTCTGATGAAGGGGGAGAGTTTCTCTGTGGGGACTGTAAATCTCAGTTTGTGTATGCACACGAGCACCACTAGTTTGGTAGCCAGTATGCATCTTTAACAAGTACAGTATATGAAGTACATTTTGAATCCAGCAGTTAAAAACTTTAGAAATAAAAAACAATAAAAATAATACAATAAATAAATATTAATGCAGTAGATTCTATCTGGCTCTACGAAGGCACTTTTAGTAAATTAAACTTTATTGTGCTTTAAATTATCGTTTCAATCTTGATTTTGACCCTGGATTAACTCTTACAGTTATAGTCTCTCATTCAAGTGTTTTTGTTCATTGTGTTGCTTTGTGACCTTAGAACATGCTCTTGGATCAGTGATGCCAAATTACTGAGCAGAAAGTCAAAAGCATCACGCGATTCATGTGTAGTCTATAAATATGTGACAGAAAATGATGGGAGAGAGATGAGAAACTGGCAAAAGTGCCCAGCTGAAATTAAATCAGGGACATTGTGGTCAGAGTATACATCATACATTCCCAATACATTTTACACCTTGTACATGTAACACCAAACTTCAGCATTATTTCCACCCATATTGCTCTAATCGATATGTGAAAAAATGAGGATAATATACAGAGGATGCTGCACCGAAATGGCCCCTCATGTTCATTAACAGGGTGCGTGTCCTATCGGAACCATATGATACTCAGGTTTTGAAAATGAAATTTCTAAGAACTACATGTCACGGGAGAAGAAAGAAAATCCTCATGGTAGATTTCAAGACATCTGACACTCTACACACACATATGCTCCTCTTGTAAATGACTTAATAAGTCCTGTAGTGTTCTGTTGGGTGGAAGGAGACTGGCAGAGCTTTTAAATGGAAAACTGGCAGCTTCTCCAAAGCACAACAAATCTGCCAAAGCTCAAAAAAGTTGACTGTTGACAGAGGCATTAACACGAATACACAGATAAGCTGAGGGTGCTCCGGTCAGACTGTTAGCTCACTGAAATGAATTCTGGCCATGCATGACCTTCTTGCAAACACTTGATGCCCTTCACAGAGCTAAAGTTAGAGTTTAAGGGGCTGAAACATGAAGATACTGATACCATTCACTCTTGTGTCTGTCTACCTGCTATACATCTCTGTTACTGGCTGTGTTGATCTCTGATCTTTGTGCATTTTCTCACTCAAATGAGTCTGGTGAAAGAACTTCTCCTATATTCTTGGACATTTTTCTGGCAGAAATACAGATACAAATTAATTTAGCAATCTCAGTGGATTTAATCTTTAATTAAAGGAGATGTTGTCAAGCCAAGACCTCATCTGAAACCTCGAGGCATCAGATGATATGATTTTACTAAGTAAATACATTTCTCCAGCAGAAAAGAAGAAAATGAATCAATCCCAGCTTTTGAATAAACCCTGTGGCCTTTGTTGGATTACTAACATGGTTTAATGTGGTGTTCCCAAATTTGGTGGTTTACACTATAGGTGAAACCATAGTAGCTACTGACACTATTTGATCCATACTGCTGTTATTTCTATAATGAGATAGCTATGCTATTATCACACATGCCAGATGGATGCATGTCAGGAGATGCACTGGTTCCTTTGGAGGAGAGAGCAAAAAATGTTTATATATTCATAGACTGAGTAGATTTATGGCACATGGTGATGGTGAATAAATCAATTTCAATTTCCAAGCGCCAACAGAGAGTGTGTTGAACTGTATCTGCTTTTAGATCATCTCTCATAAAGGACTCAGACCATCCCCTTCCATCTGGATGACCTCACAACCCTCTCATATCTGGTGGACAAGGTGTTTCAGAAAAAGAGCACTGACACAGTTCAAGTTGTGCCATGTCTGTGGTAGTGATGCAGTGTTGTTGAAGTGCGTGAGATCCAACCCTGTTCCCTTACAGGCACACAGGTCGGCATCAACATGCAGGGACATATACAGTAGATTTCACAAAAACACTCTCATATTGCAGTAATGGCACCTGGATGCTGAGGCTGTTTCAGTCCTTAGAAGATGTTGTAAAAAAAAAAAAAATTCTGACAAGTCATTTAGACAGATTTTATTTTGGTTGTCTTTGTTAATATTTTTAGAAGCACCACTTTACACCTCTTGGAGACAGCACAACTTCTACAGTGCACAGCAGCTGTGGTTCATGGATGTGCATAGTACAACTCGGTTCTACTTAAATGAAAATGGCAATTTCTAAATACTATTTTTTCAACTAATAAAGGTCTAAAAATCATTGTAGCACATGGTGTCACTCATGACAATCTTCTCAAAGATGTACTTATCCTTCCAAAGCACAACAGGCTAGCTGAGCAGAGGCCCAGAAGCAACCACGTAGCACATCACACAGTTTAAAACAAAAAGGATCAAAATTGATGCAACAGAACTGCCTTTTTTTTTTATTCCATGCATTCCTACATTACACATAATATCCTACACTACCCACAATGCAAACTGATCGCTGAGAGTTGATGTAGCAGCTAATGTAGCCTCCAGCTCCTAGCCTCAGGCAGAGATGAGCAGTGGGGTACAGAGGTCTGTCTGGAAAACTGAATTCATTCTAACACCACCCCTCCAGACATTTTTTCATTTCCAATCTTGTTGTCTTTATCTCCAACCAACACTGATTCAAGTGGCCTTACTTGAACTTATCCAACTTCACACGGCTTCCAGTGGAGCCACAAAACGCATTACACAACTTCACAGTAGTACACCTCAGACTATGAGTTGTCAAAACAGTTGAGTTCCATTTAACTCCAACCCAATAAACACATTTACATTACTCTCCCTACTGGAAACATCGAATTACATGTTCACAGTATCAAGCTGTTTCAAGTTGTTAAATCCATGTTGACAATTTAAGGCCAAACAGATCCCCACTAGCGCTTAACAGCTGATTGCTGCTTCATATGACGTTGCACTCTGATAATACGCTTTTACTGCACAGTGCAACAATAAAAAAGATAAACAGCAGAAAGCACCTGCCGCTCTCCACCAGAGGCAGGAAACATCTGTTGCTAAGAATACTGACAGATGCCTTTCTTCTTACACTATGTGCAGTTTATTTGTAAATCCATAATGTCCCTGCAGCAGTGAGCATGTGCCATAAAAGCAATGGTATGGTCTTTATTTTTTACGTTTTATCGCCATGTGGATATGCACTAGTATAAGCTGAATTTGGGGACAAATGGATGTTTTCCCCCCTTTCTAACTTCACTAAATATTCTGAGGTTTTATTCATAGGCTACTCACAATAAAAAGACAATGTTAGGAAAGAAATGTATGATTAAGCAACAACACAGAATGTGATGCTTTCCCTCGTTATCTGTTTTCAGTTTGAATCAGCATTTATAAAAATAAATCATTATTGGAAGGTTTTATAGTCTACTTCTACTTGTCACTAACTGTTTTTGACCTTCCCAAATATGACAAACAGTGCGTTATCATCCAGCCCTTTTGTCACTGATTGAATCGGTTCCTTCCTATTTACCCTGCATTATTAGATCTGCTGGCAGACTGTCACAAAAGAATCAAATGTTGTCTTGACTAAACTGTCTCTGTTTCTCAAACATGTGTACCTATTTAAAAAGAAATGTATTACAGCCAATCCTGTGTGTACATTAATTTAAAAATGAGGCTGCACTGCTATGAGAGTAATTTGAAATGTGATAGTTTCCTCGACATATTGCAGTGAAGTCAGATTTGTCAGTCAATAAAACACAATTAAATGTGCCACTCAGAAATCTCAAATACATGACCTTCACTATTGTCAAAAACATCCTCATTTGTTGTCCATATTTCAATTGTCAGTCCATCCACCAGATGTCCTCTGACTTTTTCCGCTGTCCCAGTAACCTGACTACCCACACCCAGCACACCTGTTTTTGAGTTTGAATCCGGGTTTCTGTTGTTTACTACTCCAAACATGACAGCAAATGGTGGAACAGGAAGGCGCCCAAGCACTGCGGGACACCTTGTTTAGGAATATCGTGGGTACAGGTGAGCCAGTCAACACAGACAAAGCTTTGTCACTGTTTGCTAAGAGAAAGTTAGGTAATGCATCAAACCATTGTCGTCCAGGGTGGCAAGCATCTGTGCTTCAAGTACAGCATTTGAATGAATATTCAGCAGAGAGGTGAACACACTCAACCTGCAAAGCTCCCAATTAAAACAGAATTACTTCTCTCCTTGGCAAAAAAAACAAACAAAGCAACAACAACAAAAATAAAAACCTGGTTGATTGGTTCAGCTTGACCTATTTGTGCAGAATCAAATGATAATTTATTACTTTTTGGTTGTTTATTTGTTGAGTGAGGATTTAATTAGGCTAAATTGCATCATTGGCCTGACAGAGTGCTATATTTTGGGTTGTCTGTAGCCTTAACGTTGCTAGGCTAGCAAGTGTTTTCAGTTCATTTATAGTCCATGAGTCAGCCCGGAAAATGTCTCATTATCCAAGTTTAACTTGCAGGAGTTTCTGAAGACTTGCGTGACGTGTTTTGATATCACTGTGAAACTAAATTCATGATGGAAAATGAGTTTATAGCGCTGGCAGAAATGAACCAGGGTGAAAATCTGTCAAACAGCCAAAAATTACACTTCTAACAGATGAGCTCATAAAGACAGTCTGAAAAAAGTGAACTGTCAGAGAGAATGATTGTGAAAGCTTCAGCGGTCTGACAGGAGAGTGTGTCCATGACTGATAGACGAGGTATCACGTATTAGCCTACCATATTTCATATTTCACTAAGAGTAAAGGCTTCGATAATGACAACTCTATTTTACTTAGATCAGTGGGTTCTCAGGGAAACTTTTGCTTTCACACTCGTTTCTCAGAAACAGCTGCTGGAAGGGGGGGCTCTTAAAATCAGGGTTCTGCCAAACAAAACCTCTGCAACACCACCTTAACTGAACATGTGTTGTTCACGAAAAATAGTAGCATTTTTCTACTATGTTATAACTTTGGAAGATAATACCAAGTGTACTGCTGATCTAAGATGAGCAAGAGAAGCCCACTGACTTCTGTTTTTATGTAATGGGCTGGTGTTCATTGCACATCTTGAAGAGGAGTATGTCTGGGATGCTGACGCAAAACAGTAGTTCTGAGAAAATATGGTGTGCATTTACACCACAAGTCTGCAGAATGGAGCCTTTCACAAAACTTTTTATTATCATTTAGCCATGCAGACAGCTCCAGTATGTGCTCTGGATTAATGCAACATGGTACAGCAGTTCTGTTTTATAGGCTAATTTTTCATGCAAATTGTTGGCACTGGCAGGTAACACAGGACGAGTTCAGGTTAGGAGGGGCAGGAAGGCACTGAGGAGAGGAAACAGGCAACTGTGGTGTTAACGTTGTCTCATCCATTGTATTCACTTTAATAGAGTTACAGTAACTCTGAACCGGCTAACAGCCTGTAAACAGGAAACAAATATATAACTTTTACTTGACTTCCAATGAAATACTTGCCATTCTTTGGAGATTTGCAACAGTTTGAAGACAAAGAAAATCTGATATGGGAGACATGAATAGTGATTGCATAGAGAATGTGTCCTGAAAACCGCAAACAGAAACATCAGGAACTATAGGATTTTACTCCTTTTTTGGCAAACAGTGTAATTTCTTTGTATCTGAAAGGGCGTGAGCTGCTCATTGCAGATGCAGTATTGTCATCCTTGTGGCCCAGTGAGCAGACATTGCCTCAGTATTAGAAGATGCATGATCTCGATAAAGAAGGCTTTTGCAGCACCACTCCTATTAGGCTTGTCACATTTGCAAAGCTTGATTAATATTTACAGCTAAGACTCAGCAAGACTACACAACATGCACATTAATTATTGCTAAGTTCTCTGGGCTATACGATACTGGAGTGTTGCACGTTGTTTCATACTGGGCTTTAATTGCTGAATACATTATTTTTCATTTGTAAGTAAAGGGACACAGTGTAGAGCACTAATACAGGGGGAAAACGTCATGCTCATTTTTCATGTAAACAAATCCTGGATATTCCCAGGACACTGGATACTGTTAAGGTTTGCTTTATGATAATACATCTGGAGAAATGATCTAGTCAGCAGTAGTGACTGATGCTCATATACAACAAAAAAACTATTAAACTTACAGGAACTAGGAATTTTTTAATCTCCTCTAAGGCGTGACTCATGCGGGAATAGGCTTCTCCAGGTGGAGCAAAGACTTCAATTAAAACATGAAGGTCGTTACTCAGATGGGCATATTTGGCCTCCCCACTTTTCCTTAATTCTTCCTCCTGTGAAAAAAGAAAACAAAGGAAGAATTTGTGCTCATAAAATTCAAATGATTAGCATACATGTTTTTTTTTTAAATAGTATTATATAATGTCAATTATAATGCATTTCATGTTAAGAGCTTGTTTGGATTAATTACATTATTGCACGATGCTCTATAGCAGTGAGATACTACTTTGGAAGTCAGTTTTCCTTATTTGCAGATTGACAAAACAAAGAAGTTCAACTGTGCTGGCACACGAATGTTTGTATAAATATTCACAGCATCAAACAATATTTCAGTCTGGTCTAATGTTGTGGACTGACTGACACACAGACCGAGACTGTCTTCCCCAGAGCTGTGCTGCTGATTTGGTTAAAAATCCACATTCAGCCAGATGAAGTACTTCTTCTCCAACATTGTTTTGAGAATGAAGAGGTTTTGATCTGACTGTACCAAACAATTCCACCTTTTTTGCCTCTTTTTATCATAAGCGTCTCTTGAACATGCAGACTACAATCAACAATAACATTATGATTTAGCTTTAAGACAAGGAGACACTTGAGCAATCACTATAGTCATCACCAGGAAAACACTTGTACCACATACAAAAACATTTCTGAATGATATGTGGCCTTCTGCTCAATTTCTAGAGAATAATTGCAGCTCATCTGACAAAAAACCCAGAAAGAACAACCAACTAGATAGGAGAGCTCAGTCACAGACTCTGGCTCCAAAGATGCCCTTAGGGAATATTTTTCCAGTAAAAATGGCCTTTTGTGACTTGTTGATCTTATGAAGAACATTTTGTAGGCTCTGCTCCTGGAAATATTTAAATTAATAGGCATCTTTGACACAGATACAGTTATGTGAAAATATTAGGACACCCTTTGAAAGCATGTGTATTTTGTAACATGTTTTAATATATGGTTATTTAATCTCAATTTGAACAATACAGAGAGATTAAAGTAATACAACTAAACAAGTAAGTGTTACCTCCTTTGGCTGAAATAACTGCAGTGAGACGGTTCTTGTAGCCATCTACCAGTCTCTGACATCGGTCTGAGGGAATTTTACCCCACTCCTCAATGCAGAATTGTTTCAGCTGTGAGATGTTTGAGGGGTTTCTTGCATGTACAGCCCTTTTCAAGTCACCCCACAGCATCTCAATGGGATTCAGGTCTGGACTTTGACTCGGCCATTCCAGGACTCTCCATTTCTTCTTTTTCAGCCAGTCTTTGGTTGATTTACTAGTATGTTTTGGGTCATTGTCATGTTGCATGGTCCAGTTCCGCTTCAGCTTTAATTTTCTAACCGATGGTCTCACATGTTCTTCAAGCACCTTCTGATACACAGTAGAATTCATGGTGGATTCTATGATGGTGAGCTGACCAGGTCCTGCTGCAGCAAAGCAGCCCCAAACCATGACACTTCCACCTCCATGCTTCACAGTTGGTATGAGGTTCTTTTCCTGGAATGCTGTGTTTGGTTTACGCCAAACATGTCCTCTGCTCTGGTGTCCAAATAATTCAATTTTGGACTCATCTGTCCAAAGAACATTATTCCAGAAGTCCTGGTCTTTGTCAACATTCTCTCTGGCAAATGTCAGTCTGGCCTTGATGTTTCTCTTAGAGAGCAAAGGTTTCCTCCTTGCACACCTCCCATGCAAGTTAAACTTGTGCAGTCTCTTTCTGATTGTAGAGGCATGCACTTCTACATCAACAGTAGCCAGAGCCTGCTGTAGATCTCGACATGACATTTTAGGGTTTTTGGAGACCTCGTTTAGCATCTTGCGGTCTGCTCTTGGTGTGAACTTGCTGGGGCGACCAGACCTGGGCATGTTGGCAGTTGTTTTGAAAGCCCTCCACTTGTAGACTATCTTCCGGACAGTGGAATGGCTGATTTCAAAATCTTTTGAGATCTGTTTAAATCCTTTACCAGACTCATAGGCTGCTACAATGTTTTTTCTGAAGGCCTCTGACAGCTCTTTTGCTCTCACCATGGTGCTCACTCTCACTTCAACAGTCAGGAGCACACCAAACTAAAGGTTGGAGGTGTAGATGGGGCAAGCCTCATTCAAAATGCTGAGTAACGATCTACTAATTATGTGCACCTGGTGTGATATACCTGTGTGTGATTTGAGCCATTTTAAGAGGGCATACATGTGAGGGTGTGCTAACTTTTTCCTCAGTTGGAATAGGCATTTTTGTAGAATTACATTTACAGAAGATCTTGAAAAGACTTTTCTTCAGTTTTACTTGTTTAGTTGTATTACTTTAATCTCTCTGTATTGTTAAAATTGAGATTAAATAACCATATATTAAAACATGTTACAAAATACACATGCTTTCAAAGGGTGTCCTAATATTTTCACATGACTGTAAGTCACAAACTGTAAGTTATCCTAACAGTCAGTAAATGATTGGGTGGCCACTTTTGCCAAATAGAAGTGACAATCCTTGTGAAAGAGAGAGCGAGAGAGAGAGAGAGAGAGAGAGAGAGAGAAAATTATAGAAAGTCCTTTGAAAAGGAGGCAAAGAATCAAAGTACTTTAAGAGAAATCCCCACACAGAAATGAGAGAACAGGTACATTCAACAGTGCTGATAGTGTTTAGATACACATACAGTAAACAGCAGGGAGATTAAATGATTGGAAATAGGTGTGTGAGTCAGGGAGACACAGCGAGGGCACCTGATGGACAGGTGGGAGAAAACAAGTTCGATTAAAAAAGAAAAAAACGAACCTTCACTGAAACCTTACTGCCTGTGTGTTTATTTTCTTACACTGAAGTGGAGAGATCAGCTGATATAAACACAGACAACACATTGTAAAGCGGCAAGGCGCAGTGATCTTTCTGATTAAGGTCACTCTGTCTTCAAACCAGCAAAGTGTTATAACCTAATACCATCAAAACATTCCTGTACTGTACGTTTAGTGCTAGCTAGCAAATATTAGCATCCTAACATGCTAAACTATGATGATGATCATGGTAAATAGCATTGACACACCAGCTGATTAGCATTAGTACAGTCTCACAACAGCAGAATCTTACACTTGTAAAATAACATATTCTTACAAATATGCTATTTGTTCCTTTCTTGAATAAGAGTCCACAAAGCACAACATATTTTAATGATTAAATTAGAGCTAATGATAAATGGAAAGAAGTCTAAAGCACTGAAGTAAACACAAGATGTCTCCTACCACAAACTATACAAACATCTGATGACAAGAAAAGCCCATCACCTTTAAGTCTTAGCTCAGGCCCTGCAGGGCTCTGCCTGAGGCTTCATACAGGCCTTAGAAGCTTAAAAGATCTGTAACATACTGTAGCTCAGAGCCAGTCCTAAAAGAAACAAGTTCTCTCTTTACATCAGTTCTACACACAATCAGAAATGATGTCAGGCTTAGAGTGGACACTTCTACTTGTATCAACTGTAAATGTAGCTGCTGCAACAATGTAGAGCTTATTCAGTCCTGACAAAATAAAGACAGGTACGGAGGTTTTTTTAATCTGTACTCATTCATTTTGCACTGTAACCATGAAGTGTTGAGAGCTTAGCACAAGAGCCCCTTGACGGTGGCTGTTAAGAGGAGCGAGAGTGCCACTCGCGCAGTTTATTCACCCAGCCAATCTGTGGATTCAAACTGTTGTCCTTCTATCACAGGGCTGCTCTCTACCCTCTGGAGAAGTCAGCTCTAATTAAACATCACTCCTAAAATTTCAGCAGGCTTCACAACCTTTGTCAGGAAATGTAGGTCATTATAGATCAGATCAAAATGTGCAGATAATCATGAGGTGTTTCCGTACATTGTCAGTGAACTGTTAGGGAAAATGTTCAAGGGAGCAGCACTCACACACATATACTGTAGTTACCATGACTGCAGTATGTTTGAATGTTCAATCAGTTCATATTACAGAATATTTGCATTTAAAAATAAAAAAAAATTCTCCAACTTTGCAGTTTTTTGCTGTAAAAGCGTTAGCT